GCACGAAGATCCACCCTGAATGTCCACGCACTACACACACACAGTGTAAACTGTTGACGTCAGCAGCTTGGCGGCTATGGCTGCCGTCGCCTTCCTCCTAGCTATGGCCGCCGTCGTCTTCCTCTGCCCAGTTCAGCTTCGGACACCTGCAGACCTTCACACAAGTTGCCCCAGCAGCGCTTCGGCATGGCTCACAGGCGAATGAATGCGTTAGTCCTTTATTTATATCGTTTCATCCGCTGGGCTTCTGTGCCTCTGCGCCTGGGCCCAAACCGCGTGCAACCCCCAAACCGTGTGGGGCCCAAACCGCATGGTCCACCCAAACCATGTGGGACCCTCCAAGTCGTGTGGAACTCACCCCACTTGGCACTTGCTGACTAGACACGGTGGACTGTGGCTGACCCTACCCTGCTGACTCAGCGACTTACCATTGACCTCTACAGTACCGAAGAGCCACCTACCGATTTCTCGAAACCGAACAACTTTTGCATAACGTAGTTTTTTTTTTGGCTGGGCCCTTCCCTGGTCCTTGCACGGCCGGGTCGCCTGGGAAAATAGGGTGACCCGGGCAGCCTGGATGGTAGCCTAGTTGATTGATTAATTAATTTGATGAATTAATTAATAGATTACTGGCAATTAAATGATTTCTTCCGTTTTCTTTTTAATCCCCTTTTTTTTTTTTGGTGGTGGTGGGGGGGGGGAAGGAGAAGGATTGACATTTTTATTAAAAACAAAGCCGGGAACCAAAGCCCGGCGTCCCTCACAAGAGTCGCCGCAAATCTGACCTGAGCGAGGCACTTCGGCCAATTCTTCTCTGATTCAGAATTATCTTTTTTTTTTTTAACAAAAATCAAATTACATGCAGTGCTTGCAGTCTAAAAATTTCGGTTCTTTTTTTTTTTTTTTTTTTTTTTTTTTTACGGTTGAAATTAGACTTCCGATTCCTAATATGGAAGCTCCAAGAAACGGAAACAAATGGAGGGAAAAAAGTGTTACTAAAAAAAGAAAAAGGGAAACAGATGTGACATTGCATCGTCACGCAATAAAGAGCTGTCAGGCTTGGGCTATGAGGAGGGCAAGAATGAAATGAGCACCACCCTCAGTAGGGGTACTACAGATCTGCAATCAGACTTGCTTTCTTTTCCACTTCGCACTCGTGCAAACAGATGGTGAATCACACTGGCGCATAGCGCCCACTCAAAGCTCAAAGATACGGAAGTCGAAAACCCAGTTCGGATACAAACTCGCTTCAACAGGCTATGGCGCATCAGCACCTGTACATCCCAACTCTCGTCTCTCTGTCCAACACCACTGTTCGTACTCACTCAACTCTGGATCACCCTGGATATCCCACATGCATACACACTCACACACACACTACTACTAACACCAGCTATGGCCACCATGGCAGCCGGCTACTACTAACTATGGCACACTGTCCTCCTCACGGCCCACTTCCACTTCGGGCGACTGCAGACCACCTCGCACAAGTCGCTGGGGCAGCGCTTCCGCATGGCTTCCGCAGCAATGAATGCCTGGCTGGACGCTGCCTCTTAATTTATACTTCTGTTCGTCGCTGCGCTGCCACTTTTCCACCGCCACTTTTCCACCAGGCCCCTGGTGCACACAGTCCCACATGGTACTTGCTGACTGGACTAAGTGAGACTGGGACTGGGTACCGCTGACTCAGCACGGGTCGACTCACCACTTGCCCACTTGCCTCTGGTCTACTGTGGTCAACGTTCGAAAGGCCACTTCTGGACCTTCCGGAAGTCTGTGGACTTGGCCTTTCGACACTGTAGCAGCTACGACCTTGACCTTTCAGGACTGTAGCAGCTACGACCTTGACCTTTCAGRACTGTAGCAGCTACGACCTTGACCCTTCAGAACTACTACAGCTACGACCTCTGCTACAAACTTGACCCCTACTCGACAGGACTACAGTTCAAGACCCGATG